CCGCAAGGGCAGCGACAGGGCCACACGGGCGGCGACGGGGCCGCAAGGGCGGCGACGGGGCTGCTGAGGGCGGCGACGGGGCCGCAAGGGCGGCGAAGGGGCCGCTGAGGGCGGTGACGGGGCCGCTGAGGGCGGCGACGGGGCCGCTAGAGGGCGGCGACGGGGCCGCGAGAGGGCGGCGACGGGGCCGCAAGAGCGGCGGCGGGGCCGCAAGGGCGGCGACGGGGCCGCTGAGGGCGGCGACGGGGCCGCTGCGGGCTGCAAAGGGGCCGCTAGAGGGCGGCGACGGGGCCGCTGAGGGCGGCGACGGGGCCGCTAGAGGGCGGCGACAGGGCCGCGAGAGGGCGGCGACGGGGCCGTGTAGGGTGGGGCCGCGAGGGGCCGCTAAGGGCGGCGACGGGGCCGTGTAGGGTGGGGCCGCGAGGGGCCGCTAAGGGCGGCGACGGGGCCGCGAGAGGGGCCGTGAGAGGGCGCGACGGGCCGCTAAGGGGAGGACGGCACACAGGGCGACTCGCTCTCCGGGCAGAAAAATTTTTTTAATCGATTTTCAGTGGTGGGCCCTAGGAACAGTTCCCACTAGGGAACCTGCTCTATACCATGTGAACAAATGAGGAATGAATGATGAACTAGGAAATGAGTTGGGTACAAATATGAAACCCTAGAAAGCTGTACCCCATACTGTCTACCCCACTACAGCCTAGAAAGACTATAGCATATAAGTTTGACAATATTCACCAAGGCACACCTACCTACTGACCGACTTGGGAGTGCAGCCTCGTTCTCCTCCAGTTCTGTACGTAGACAACAAGGCCGCCATTGCCTTGTGTCAGGAGCACAGACTGGAGCACAGAATGAAGCATATCGCTCTGCGTTACTTCCTGGCTCGAGAGTTGCAGCAGCGTGGTCAGCTTCGTCTTGCTCACGTGGCCACTCGGGCCAACACTGCTGATATATCCACCAAGGCACTTCCGTCCTTGTGATCATCAGCGCTTCTGTATTATGTTAGGCCTTGTGCCTGTTTCGTCTCACTTGCTCACTTCGTGACTTTGCTTGTACTGTGATCTATATATATATCTGCATGTTTGCTCTTGCTCGGTAGTGATCACTGTATTGTTGTTGCTGCATATATACCTCTGCATGTGAACTGGCCTTGTGGCCTTTTGCTTGTGCTCGGAGTGTGTGGTGACGTTGTGATCCACCCTGAGCTTGCTTTGTTTTTCTTGACTGGTCTTGTGACCCCTTGTTCTCCCCCACTTTGCCTATGGGGCTGTGTCAAACTATATATGTGTTAGTTTTGTGTAGGCTATAGTGGGGTACAACACAAAGTTAGGGTTAGTACTTGTACCCACATTTCATTCAATGCAACCATTCCTGCTTGCTATCTTGACAGGGCGCGCTACCCGCGGGGCGCGCTGCCTGCGGGGCGCGCAACCCGCGGGGTGTGTTAAAGTTAGAGAAGCCATGGATGGCGAGAGTGTTTGGTGAGGTGAAAAATGTTAAAATAGGAAGAGAAATGTCTAGGTACAAAAGAGAGATTGTTGGAAACCCTAATCGAACCTAGGGTGTGTTCGGTTTGTACTAACAGCTACAAAATGAACCTAAAATGAACCTGAATGCGTAACGCTCGCTAAGCACGGAGAAATAATATAAGAACACCAAAATAAAGACCAGAGCGAGCTCTAGCCTACTCCAACACACCCCCAGGCTAGGTGAAGCTCTGGAGCAAAACACCTAGCGAACAGGCACACCCAAAGAAGTGGAGAGACGCGTGAGCCCAAGCTCGCGCACGTAGAAACGGTGTGGCGCACGCAGAAGAGCCTTGGTGAAAATGTCAGCAAGGTTGGCAGCAGCGTCCACCTTGCGCAGACGTAAGAAACCAGACTGCACCAGCTCGCGCACAAAGAAATAGCGGACCTCGATATGCTTTCTGCGGGCGTGATAGACAAGATTTTCAGTGAGATGAATCATGCTCGCACTGTCACAGAAGAGCGTCACAGAGGACTGAGAGTGACCAAGCTCAGCAAGGAGAAAGGAGAGCCAGCGAGCCTCCTGAGCTGCCAAGGTGCCTGCGTACAACTCAGCCTCACAGGTGGAAAGGCAGACAGAGGATGAGCGAGTAGAGCGCCAGCTTATGAGACCACTGCCAAGAGTGAAACCATAGCCTTGAGATGAGCGGCGATCAGGGCGGGAGTCAGCATAGGAAGAGTCACTGTAGCCGGAGAGAACGGGAGGAACAGAGCCACCAAGAGTGAGAGCAAGGTCAGAGGTGGCGCGCAGATAGCGCAGGACGCACTTAGCAGCCGCCCAGTGCACGTGAGTGTGGCGGCCTAGACCAACAAAGCGAGAGAGAACACTGAGGGGGTAAGCAAGGTCGGGGCGAGTGCACATCATAGCATACATGAGAGATCCAACGAGCTCAGGATAAGGCCGCAGCTCAGAAGAGGGAGCAGGGACGGCAGGGGCAGTGACTTGATGGTTAGCGGGAAGAGGGGTGGAGACCGGCTTGGCCTGCGACATCTCAAACCGCTGGAGGATGGACTGGATATAGAAAGACTGGGAGAGAGAGATGGTGCGGGCAGCACGATCACGACGGATCTCCATGCCGAGGTAGTGACGCAGCTCGCCAAGGTCCTTGCACAGGAGACGCGCCTACAGGGCCTTCTTGACAGCTGCAAGATCGGCGGAGTCCTCAGCAAGCAGCACCAAATCGTCCACATAGGCAAGGATGTAAAGCCTGTGGGGGGATGTGCGAATGAAGAGACTGGGGTCGGAGGTGGAGGTAGAGAAGCCAAGAGAGTGAAGGGTGGAGGCGAGCTTGGCGTGCCACTCGCGTGGGGCCTGTTTGAGGCCATACACAGGTCGTTTCAATTCCCAAACCGTGCCTGGAGGGAAAGGGCGAGGAAAGCCTGCGGGGCGCTCAAGGAATATGCGCTCATGCAGCTCGCCCTGGAGGAAAGCATTGGAAACGTCCATGGAATGGATCTCCCAATTCCAACGAGCACCTAAGTCAAGAAGGAGGCGAAGGGTGGGGAGACGGGCTGTGGGGGAGTAAGTGGCAAAGTAATAAATGCCTTCACGCTGAGTGAACCCCTTGGCACAGTAGCGGGCCTTGAAGACAGGAAGTTCGCCGGGCAGCTGCTTGACACGGAAGACCCATTTGCCTTTGGCAATGGTGGCGCCAGGGGGGGGGACAGAGTCAATGTATGAATTAGTTCTGGTGAATGCCTCACACTCAGCAATGATGGCAGCCATCCACTCAGTGGGATGAAAGCCCGACACAGCCTCGGAGTAGGACTGAGGGGTGGGGATGGCAGCGGTGTCGACAGAGAGAAGAGTGGGGGAATTGCTGAAGTCACCAACGGTGACACACAGGAGAGGAGAAACAGGATGAATGTTGAAGAGCTCCTCAAAGCGATCTTCAAGAAGAGTAACATTCTGAGATGGAGAAAGACGAGTGAAAAGAGCAGAGTGCTGAAAATTAGAAAGTGCGTGATTCATGGAGCGAGTAAGGCGTGGGGAAGGGGGGGGAATGGGAACAGACGAAGGAGGCGGAGAGGAAGATGGAAGTGAGGAAGGGAGGGGAGCCGAAGAGGAAGAGGCGGGTGGGGAGGCGCCAGAGATGATGTCGGAAGGAGGGGCATTAGAGGCTGGCGCAGAGGGAGGGGCGGGAAGGGGCGGGATAGGAGGGGAGGGGGGAGGGGAGGGAAGGACAAACTGCCGCTGATCGAAATCAGACTAGTGAAGAGAGGGGACAGGAGGGGCGGGTGGGGGGGAATGGAATGGGGATTGAGTCTCATCGAAAATGACGTCCTGGCTGCGGATGAGTTGGTGAGAGGAAGGGGCATAGAAAAGATAGCCAGGACAGTCAGAGTTGATACCAAGAAATGCACAGAGCTGCGTCTTGGGAGCGAGTTTCCCACCCTGACGGGACCGGTCTGCTGGATTGACAAGAACATGGGCGACACACCCCCAGACCCGAAGAGGGCGAATAGAGGGCTGGCGGCCAGTCCAAAGCTGGAAGGGGGTGGTAGTAGGGCGAAGAGGATGAGGGCGGAGGTTAGAGAGAAGAGTGGCATGGAGGAGAGCATAGCTCCAAAGAGAGTGGGGAGCAGAGGCATGGGTGAGAAGGCAGCGAGTGATTTCCATGAGAGTGCGATTGCGACGCTCGGCAACCCCATTCTGTTCTGGTGAGTGAGGAAGAGTGGAGGTCTGGCGAATGCCATGAGAGGCACAGTAAGAGGAGAGAGAGTGATTAAAGAATTCGCCACCACCATCCGAGTGGAAGCGCGCGACAGGACGCTTAAAGCATAGACGAGCCTGCTCAGCCCATCGAATGATGAGGGAGGGAGCGTCAGATTTGGCACGGAGGGGATAGACAGTGGCAAATCGGGAGTGGTCATCAACCAAAAGCAGAAAGTAGCGATGACCCTGACGAGACGCAGTGGGTGAAGGACCCCAGAGGTCCATATGAACAAGGTCAAGGGGTTGGGGAGAGGCAGAGGGAGAAGAGGGATGGGGTGACTGGGATAATTTGGCCTGGGCACATGGGGTGCATGGAGGAGCAGGAGAGGGAGGAAGAGGGGGGAGAGAGGAAGGGAGGCCATGAAGAAGCTTGGAGGAGACCATACTGCGAAGAAGGGGAAAATTGGGGTGGCCAAGCCGATGATGGAGGAGAAGGGTAGGTTGAGTGAGAGAACGACAGTCGCAAGAAGGAACGGGAGGGGCGGAAGCGGAAGAGGCATGATGGGTAGAAGGGGGGAGAGAGACACGAAGAGTGTAGAGGCGAGTGATAGGGGAAAGAGTAAAGCGTGCAAGATGGCGGTGGCGATGATAGAGATCACAATAGGAGTCACATTCAGGAAAGATAGCTCGCACACAAAGACGTTGAAGTGCAGAGAGAGAGAGAAGGTTGTGGCGGCAGGAAGGGACATAGAGGCTAGTCACAGCACCAGAGGGGGAGGCAGGACAGGGAAGAGAGGAGGCAGCAGTGCAAGTCATGGTCATGGTATCCCCAGCTCCTTGAATGGAGAGGGGTTGGGGAAAAGAGCGAAGCACACCAGCATCACGAAAAACAGAGTCAGTGGCACCACTGTCAAGAACAAACTCAAGAGTGTGAGGGAGAGAAAGAGCAGCAGCTGTGGGACGAAGATACTGAGAATCATTGCCATTAACAGAAGGAGCAAACATCATGGCAAAACGAGGGTCCATAAGGGGAGAAGCTCCCAGAATGCTATCCTGACTAGGCATAGTCACACTGAGAGCAGAGGTTTGAGCACTGGTACCAGAGTCGGCAGCCACAAGTACCGCCTGGGCAGAAGACTGGCGACGCTGACGAGAGAGTTGAAGCCAGTTGGGAGGGCGACCAGTGTTGCCAGCCAGGAACCAGTCATCGGTGAGCTTCTGGAAGCAGGAGGAGGAGGGATGATTGGTGCGACCGCATGGCTGACCCTTGCGGGGCCCTTGGCGAATGATGTAGGTGCAAGGAGGAAAGGTGTTGCGAGGGCGAGAGGAAGCAGCGGCGGCAGTGGAGGTGGGGAGAGGGGGGGGGGGGCGGAAGAGGGTGTGACAGCGGAGACAGTAGGAGGGCAGCTGCGGAGGTTGAGCTCTGCCTGGAGGAGGAAGGCAGAGACACGAGAGAACGACCACTGGTCGGCAGGGCGCTCACCATACAGAGTGACATGAACACTGTATTCAGGAGTGAGGCCTGTGAGGAGGAGGGCACCGCACACATGATCGGAAAGTTCAAACTTTTGAGAGGCAAGTTGGGAGGACAGCGTCTGCACACGAGCGATGTAGTCTGCCATGGTGGTGAAGTCAGCAAGGCGAAGAGAGGTAAGCTCGCGTAAGAGGGCAATGACACTGATGTGAGTCTGCGACTGGAAGCGCTCGGTAAGATAGCCGAGAAGGTCCTTGGCATAGCGGATGTGCGAGCACTGAGGGAGAAGGGTTGGAGGTAGGCAGGCAAGGATGACCTGGCAGGCACGTGCGTTGGCAACATGCCAATCAGCGAGAAGGTCAGAGTGAGATGGAGCAGAAGCAGAGGGAGTAGAGGCAGAACGAGGAGAGGGGGCAGCGAGGTGCTGCTTGCGGGTGCTCTCGAGGGACTCAGCAAGGACACGAGCGAGGTCACGGGCTGCAGCATTGTCAGGAGCAGCAGCAGCAATGGCTTGGGCCGTGGCCGCAATCCGCTCAGTTTCAGAGATAGCAGCACGAAGGCCATCAGCATATGGGTCAGAGGAGGTAGAGGTAGGTGCAGAGGCAGGTTTAGGAATGGCGCCAGAACCACTCTGCTGAGTGACAAACCAGAGGTTAAAGCCACTCACGAGGGTGCCAGACAGCGTGCGCTCGAGACAGTTCAGCCAACTGGGGAAGTTGACTGCGCTGCCATCAGGCGCAAGCTGAAGGACCAGCAGAGGGAGGGAGGGGAGGGCGAGAGAGGTCGCCATAAGGAGGAGGAGACAGCTGCAGAGCAGATGAGGGGAGAGGTATAAGAGGCGGAGGAATAAGGGCGAAGGAGTCCGCTGCTGTGCTGCTGAGGGGAGAAACTAGAGGAGAAGGGATAGTGGCGGAGTAGTCTGCTGCTGCGCCGCTGAGGGGAGAAACTAGAGGAGGAGGGATAGTGGCGGAGTAGTCTGCTGCTGCACCGTTGAGGGGAGAAACAAGAGGAGGAGGGATAGGGGCAGGGTGCGCCGCAGGGGAGGCAAGCGCGCGCGTTGCTCGACGAAGCGAAGCGCGCGCGGCGACGGCAGCGCAATGCGCGCGCGACGAGACGGGAAGGGGGGGCGGAGGGGAGGGGGGGGGGGGGGGCGGCTGAGCGCACTACGAGCAAAGAAAACAGCGCGCTACCGCCGGGAATGTGAGAGGAGGAGGCGCGACGAAGGGGGAAGGCGCAGGAGAGCGAACGGACGGTAGGGAGGCGCGCTACGGAGTGAAATAGAGCATCCGCGTGACTAAAATGAAGAAAACCGCGAGGATGCTAAGTATGACTTTAAGGAAACGGTAGAATAGAAGAAAAAGAAAATCGTCTAGGTAAGTAGCGCGGAAATAGCCTAAGGACCAGAAAATTTCTAAGAGATGCGGATGAAAGGGAAACGCCTAGGACTAGGCTCTGAATACGATGTTAAAGTTAGAGAAGCCATGGATGGCGAGAGTGTTTGGGGAGGTGAAAAAAGTTAAAATAGGAAGAGAAATGTCGAGGTACAAAAGAGAGATGGTTGGAAACCCTAATCGAGGGCTGGGGCGACGGGCCAGGGCGCGGGCTGGGGCGACGGTCTAGGGCGCAGGCAGGGGCGACGGGCTAGGGCGCGGCCCTGGGGACGGGCTAGGGTGCGGGCTGGGGCGACGGGCTAGGGCTGTGAGAGTACGACGGCTTATGCCAGCTATGCTTGCTTGCCTTTACTTTATCATGCTATTTCTAGCATAGGATAATTATATGCATGCATGAATTGCTTGATTTCCTAGGCTAGGTGCTTTCCTATATTTTATTATAGTTATAGCACCGAGCTAGGTTGCGTGCACCGAATTCTGGCTTTTCGGTTGCCACCGAATTGCCTTCTACCGAATTCGGGATGGATCTGTTCGGGACGCTTCGCGACCCGCGGAACCTTCGCGTAACACCTGGTTACGGGGCCTTGTGTCGAGCCTATATATAGCCTCGTGTTGTACCCAGGTGATCATTCAATTCACATTCTCTTTTCTGAGCTCGATCCTAGATCCCCACACTTGGTAATCAGAGCCCGTTTACACGCGAAGTTCTTTCGACCGCTACAAACCAGTCTTCAAAAAACCGCGGGGGCGACGCAGTTAAACATCGATTTCGGGTACGTAAAACCGGTTCCGTGTTTTTCGCTCCCCCTCGACTCGGTTTTTTGGACGCGTTGATGTCAGGCATGGAAGGCCAAGGCGACAACTACGCGACCACGAGGGACATCGCGAGCCTCCGCACCGACATGGAGCAGACGCAGGCGACGCTTCGTCGACTCGAGGCTTTTCTGACAAGCCAACCAGGGTTCGCCACCGCAGCGACTGCAGCACCGACAACTCCAGCAGCAGTGGCGACACCGACATTTCACGGACCGATGGCACCACTGTCGCCGAACCTCAAAGCAGCACGATCGAGGCTCCCTGAGGCGTTCGATCCAAGCGCGAAGGGATCCGACGTCCGGCGATTTGTGGCCACCCTCGAAATTTACTTCGAGGCCATTGGCTGTTCGACCCCGCAACACGACGCAGCAAGGATTCGGCTCGCAGCGACACTGTTACGTGGACCGGCTCTCGAATGGATTTACTACACCGACGTAGCCCGCGGGGAGAAAACGTGGCAGCAGTTTCGGGCAGATTTAATCGAGCGTTTCGAACCAATTAATACGACCTACATGGCGCGGCAGCAGATACACCGACACAAGCAATACAGTAGTGTAGCACAGTACACGCAGCAGATGGAGTTACTGTTCAACCGCATCACCGACCTGACCGAAGGCGAAAAATTCCATGCGTACACCGAAGGGTTAAAAATGGAGATTCGGCGGCAGGTGATTGCGGCGAATTACAACAGCTACAGAGACATCGTGCGTGCTGCCGAGCGATACGACGCGCTGACTCGAGGTCAACCCGAAACACGACGCTTCACGCCGAACCGTACATTCGGCACGGAGCGATCGGCACCCCCCACGTTCGCCGAACCGATGGATATCGACAAATACGACGCGAAGCAGCAACCGACAAAATGCGAATTTTGCGGCGCAGCAGGGCATCAGTTTTTGTCGTGCTACAAAATGAAGAAAGCACGTGCGGCACTCCGGGACGGAAACAGTGGAGCACCCCCGAAGTCAAAAAACGGGAATCGCCAGTAGCCGCGGATCGACCTGGCGATCGCGTAAAGATCCGAAAAGCAGGAAAAGGCGACGACGTGGCGACTTCGGAGCAGGCGAAAAAAGGAGAAAATGATGGCGCGAATCAAAAACGTCACGACCGGCCGGCATCAGGGGAAATCGCCGAGGCGAATGGAGGCTCCGCGAAAAAAGACTCTGCACCGACCGGGAAACTCCAGCCGAACACCCACGAAAGTAAGAATTCGTTAAAAGTATCCTATAAAGATACTCTAACGAAGAATATTGCTTCTCGTGGTTTCAAGCCTTTGAAAAAATCAGGGGAGGTTTAGAGGCTAAGAAAAAGCCTTTAGAAATCATTCAGGTACCTGAGAAGTTGGGCAAAGTACTACGGAGCGTAGAAAAAGGTCGTGCGTTCCGTGGAGTTAATATTCTCTCCCCGCAGCACAGTGTTAAGGCTCCCCGTTGCCCACAGGTGAAGCCTACACAGCTGCCAAGGCTTAGAGGAGGCATCCAGGCTCGGGAGAAAATATACAAGCCTCGGAAAAATCCTCCCACCCCCCAGGTGAAGTTGGAAAGTGCTGAGTCGGGTATAGGAAAAAGGGAAGGTATTAAGTTTGATGTACCCTATGATCCTATTAATGAGACCCTCTTTGGATACTCAGCGCAGCAGAAACCACTACTCCTCGAGGTGTTATGCAATGGACGACGCCTCCAGGCACTGGTGGACAGCGGTGCATCTCACTCGGTGTGTGACCGCGGAGCATTGGAGAAAATTGGAGAGAAGGCGGAGGAGACCCAGTTTTCAGCAACCATGGTGGACGGTACGAAACTTCCTATCCACGGCGAAGCATCACTGCAGCTGCATATAGGTGCGTTGAGGTGGAAGCCGAAGCTACCAGTCACCAACATCAAAGGGTTAGATTTTATCTTGGGGCGAGATTTTTTGAAGCGGTTCAACCCCGAGATCGATTGGATCAACAGCAAGGTGTACATCTACAACAACGGGAAGCATATAGCACTACGAAGCTGGACGGATACAGGGGACGTACCGGAGACGACACTGGCACGGTTCGAACAGACAGTGAACGAGAGTAACACGGGTTACCTAGCACTGGTCATAGCAGCAACAGAGGAGGAGAAGCCGAGTTCCGAGCTCCCTGCAGCAGTGAAGGAGGTCTTGGAGCAGTACAAAGATATAATGCCCGACGACCTACCTGCAGGCGTACCTCCAGCACGCACCCACGAGCATGAGATCGTGGAGGAACCAGGTGCGAAACCCGTCTCACGTGCACCATACCGACTGAGTCCGACCGAACTAACAGACATGAAGAAACAGATCGAATATCTACTGGACAGACAACTGATCCGCCCATCCACCTCTCCCTACGGTGCACCAGTTCTCTTCACTCCAAAACCAGACGGCAGCTTACGGATGTGCATCGACTACCGCGCACTGAAAAAACAGACAGTTAAAAACAAATACCCCATACCGCGCATCGACGACTTACTGGACCAACTGCGTGGTGCAACAGTCTTCTCGAAGCTGGACCTACGGTCGGGTTACTGGCAGATCAAGATGGCGGACAACTCGATCCACAAGACGGCGTTCCGTACTCGATACGGCTCCTACGAATACTTGGTGATGCCGTTCGGACTCTGCAACGCACCAGCAACGTTCCAGGCGGAAATGAACCATATTCTACGGCCCCTGCTGGACGAGTGCATAGTGGTGTACCTGGACGAAATTCCCAATCCACTCCAAGAACATGAAGGAGCACGTGGAGCATCTGCAGAAGGTGTTCGAGATCCTGCGGAAAAACAAGTTCTACGTGAAGCTGTCGAAGAGCGACTTCGCCCTGAAGAAGGTGCAGTTTCTCGGCACATGGTGAGTGCCGAGGGCGTACACGTGGACCCGCGGAAGATCGAAGCCGTCAAGAAGTGGAAAGTTCCGGAGAACGTGAAGGAGTTGCAGCAGTTCCTAGGATTCACCAACTACTACAACAGGTTCGTGCCACAGTACGCTAAGATTGCAGCGCCACTGACCGACCTACTGAAAAAGGATACGCCCTTCAAATGGGATACTCCGCATCAGCAAGCCATGGAACAGCTACAGACAGCACTGACCACAGCCCCAGTACTCATCCTACCAGACCCCGAGAAGGACTACGTAGTTGAAGCAGATGCTAGTGACCAGGCAGTCGGAGCAGTACTGATGCAGGATCACGGGAACGGTTTACAGCCTATCGCCTACCTCAGTAAGAAACTGCACGGAGCAGAACTAAACTACCCCATCCACGACAAGGAAGCCCTAGCTATAGTCGTAGCCTTCAAGGCGTGGAGGTGTTACCTCGAGGGAGCCAAGACCACAGTCTATACTCACACCACAGCAGCCTACCACACCGGCACACGTCCAAGCCGCACATGACTTCGTCACCAACATGCAGTAGCTATGGGAGAAGACTCAGCGACGACTCACCACGATGCAGACCTCCTAGAAGCAGTATGCCGATCGTCAGCGACGTGATCACTCAGTAGCAGTCGGAGATCAGGTGCTTCTTGACACGCGCAACTTGAACCTGTCTCACCTACCATCCAAGCTCCGGCCTCGCTTCTGTGGTCCTTTTCTCGTTGAGGCACAGGTGACACCAGTTACATTCCGCTTGCGCTTACCAGATATGTGGAAGCTTCACAATGCTTTCCATGTGCAGCTACTGAAGCCCTACAAGGACCCCAACCAACAGTTCCAGGGACGGCAACTACCGCCACCACCACCTGTTCTCATACAGGATGAACCCGAGTACGAGATCGAGTGCGTTCTCACTCATCGGCGCCGCAGCGGCAAGGCCCTCGAGTTCCTGATACGCTGGAAGGGATACGACCCCACTGAGGATAGTTGGGTTGCAGAAGCTGATATGGGCAACGCACGCCGTGCTCTCAAGGACTATCTTGTCAAGCAGGGTGTATCTCACGCCATCCAGCTTTGAGGGGGGGACGTGTGAGAGTACGACGGCTTATGCCAGCTATGCTTGCTTGCCCTTACTTTATCATGCTATTTCTAGCATAGGATAATTATATGCATGCATGAATTGCTTGATTTCCTAGGCTAGGTGCTTTCCTATATTTTATTATGGTTATAGCACCGAGCAAGGTTGCGTGCACCGAATTCTGGCTTTTCGGTTGCCACCGAATTGCCTTCTACCAAATTCGGGAAGGATCTGTTCGGGACGCTTCGCGACCCGCGGAACCTTCGCGTAACACCTGGTTACGGGGCCTTGTGTCGAGCCTATATATAGCCTCGTGTTGTACCC